GCAGTGGGTGTGGATTTGGGTTTGTCCTGAAGGCCTGTGGATGTATGCTGGCCGAGACACTTGGACTCCTTCCTGGGTGTGATGGAGCAGGTGTCAGGAGGATTTCCAGTAGGGCCTTGAGGAAGAATAGGGTCAGAGCTGGACTATATGAAGAAGAACTTGGCATCAGGATTGGAGAAAAGCTTATTAACAACCTGTGATATGCAGATGGCACAGCCTTGCTTGGCTGAAAGTAAAGAGGACTTGAGTGAGGCACTTGCTGCTCAGTGTAAAGCAGCGAACATTCTGACACCTGGACCAGTAAACAATATCATGCTAAACAGAAAAGACTGACGTTGTCAAGGACTTTGTTTTACCTGGATCCACAACCAGTGCTCATGGAAGGTTCAGTCAAGAAATAAAATGTGCTGTTGAGTAAATGCTGCAAAAGACCTCTGAATTGTTACAGAGCAAAGATGTCCGTTGGAAGATTAAGGTGGCCCTTACCCAAGCCATGGTATTTTCAGTGTCCTGTGCACGTGGGAGCCCTGGTATGGCGCTGTGGGTTAATGCGCTGGATGCAAAGCCATTTGAACTGCAAGGTCAGCAGTTCAATCTCACCAGTCACTCCTCGGAAACCCTATAGAGGGTCGCTGTGGGTCAGAACTGACTCGATGGCACTTAACAGCAACATGTGCATGTGAAAAGTGGACAACAAATAAGGAAGACCTCAGATGAATCGCTGCATTTGAATTATGGTGTTGGTGAAGAATATTGAAAGTACCGGGGACCGCCAGAAGTACAGCCACAGATATTCCCTGGAAGGGAGTGGCCAGACTTTGTCTCATACTTTGGGACCAGTCCCTGGATAAGGACAAGGAGCTAGGTAAAGTACTGAAAAAGAGGAATACCCCAGTGAGACGGACTGACACCTTAGCTGCAGCGGTGGGCTAAGGGCAGTGTAGGACTGGCTGGTGTCCTTCTCTTGTGCGCAGGGGCACTCTAAGTCAGAGCCGACTTGACAACAACACCTAGCACCAACAACAGGTCGGAGTTGGCCTTTAGATTTGCCTTTGGGTGTACTTTTCTTGGACATTCCAAGCCCTTTCCCAACGTTTGCTTCACCAACCAACCAGTGGCCATCAGTCTCTATCCTGCCCCTTTCTCTGCCATTGTGTTTTCATTGCCCACACATCCTCTCTCTCTGTTGGATATTGTTGTGGTAACATGGCCACAAACTTGGTGGCTTCAAACAACACCTTACAGATCTGGGGTCAGAAGTCTGATATGGGTAGCACTGGGCTACTGCCAAAGGTAGGCAGGGCTACACTCCTGCAGGCGTTCTGTGCCGCCCCCCGCCCCCACCCCCACCCCAGCACTGGGCTATTGCCAAAGGTAGGCAGGGCTACACTCCTGCAGGCGTTCTGTGCCGCCCCCCGGCCCCCCCTCTCCCGCCACATCACCTCAGTCTAACATGGGCTCTCAGGCCACCTCCCCCCATGTGTGTGGTGACATTGGGCTCCCCCGGAATTCAGGATTCTCCCAATGTTTTTAAAGTCAGCTGATTAGCAACCATCTACTCCCTTAGTAGTTCCCTTTTACCACCTCACCGAACCTAATCATAGCTTCCAGGAATCTGGATAAGCACATCTTCGGGGGACAGGGGAGACAGCATTCTGCCTACCAGACTCACCAGGTGTGAGACCCTAGAATGCAGTATGAGAAGGCAGGCGCTCGTGCCGGGGGAGAAGGCAGGTGTGTGCTGTGGTCTCAGTCACAAGTGTGGTAAGGACACATGGTGCTGGACAGTGTGGCAGAGCTGGGTCCTCCGGGAAAGCATCTCGGAGGCCTGGCTTTTATGCAGGAACTTGGGAGGTGTGAGGGTCCAGGGGAATCCTCACAGGTACAAGGAAAGGTAGGCAGGAAGGTGTCTGGCAGGGTGTCAGGATTCACCCTGCCTCAGCCGCTGCCCCATTGTTTGGTTGTGCAGTCCCATCTCGTGGCCTTGGCTTCCCCATCTGTACAAGGTATGGTTGGGACACAGTGACACCTCTCCGATAAACTTGTGCCTTTGAAACATTGCTTTGAAGGAAATCCTTCAGGGCACCTTTCTGTGTACAATGGTGGGCAGCAGCTCTGACACGTTTGCAAGAGAGTGGAATTCCTGCTCTGTCTCCACCTCCCCCTGTGTAGGGGTTCTGAGGAGCTGTTGGTGGGTTTCAGTGGCCGACCTTGCAGTTCAAACTGCCTTGCTGTCCAGTGCTGATCCTAAGTGCCATGTTTTCATCTGCACAGTATCCTATTCAGTGCCTGTATTGTAACTAACTAGCTAGTCCCCTGTTGATTGGCACTCAATTGTTTGTAGTCTTTGACCAAAGTCATCCAGGCTGCAGTGACATGTCCCACCCTTTGGGTCTTTTTTTCCCACATTCTTGAATTAATCTATAGGCAAAATTCTTAGAGTGGAATACTTGGCACTTTATTAAACTTTATTATTGACGTTAACTGTCCTGGACTCAGCCCCCACCTCCTGGCAACCCCATGCAAAACACTGCCCGGCCCTGCCCCACCCCCAAGATTAGTTATGTGATCCATAAGGGTTTTTGGCTGCGTTTTAGGAGATCACCAGGCGTTTATTCCTAGTCTTAATCTGGAACCTCCGCTGACACCTGTTCAGCATCATAGCAACACATAAGCCACCAGTGCACGTGAGGACTGTTCATGGTTTGGGGCCCCCAACACCCACTCTTGTGGGTGGCATCTTCCTCTCTCCAAGCAGGGAAACAAAGTTTCTGAGCTTCCAAGTTCCGGTTGAGCCCATCTCTCTCCCTGCCGGCTGGAAGCTGCAGTTGCATTTAGCAGGACTTAGAAATCCTGTCGCTGTATTGACCGGGAACTGGCGGCAGAGGGGGCCCGGGAGCCAAATAAGGCTTCACTCGCGCTCTCCTTGACCCTCCACCTGGTGGTGGCTGCGTTGGTGAAGGAGCAGGAGGCGTCGCTGTCCAAAAGCCTGGCTGCAGCTGGAACATCGGTGCCGGGCACTGGCCTGGCTGCCGGGCGCGGTGGGGGGATCGTGGCACAGGCGATGGGCAGCCAGTTTGGAAGGGAACGAAAAAGCCTTGGGGCAGTGCGGGCATGGATAGGGGCGGGCGTCGGTGGCATGGTGCGTGTGGCGGTGGGCTGCTAGCTTGGAGGGATAACAGAAGGACTTAGGGCAGTCTGGGCACGGGTAGGGGCGGGCTGGCGCGTGCGTCCAGAGGTGTGCCGCCAGCTTGGAGCGGTGGCCGAAAGCTTTTGGGCAGTGTGGGCACGAGTGAGGGCGCACGCCGCTGTGCGTGAGGCGGTGGGCAGCTAGCTTGGAGGGATAGGAGAAGGCTTTGGGGCAGTCGGGGCATGGGTGGGGGCGGGCGCCACCGTGGGCCAGCCTGTGGGTGGCCAGCTTGGACGGATAGGAGAAAGCCTTGTCGCAGTCGGGGCAGCGGTGCGGGCGTTGGGGCGGGGGGCGCCGGCGGGGACGGGAAATTACCCCCGAGGGCGTGGCGGGCCCTGGAGCAGGGCGGCTGGACTTCTGCAGCGGACCCTGGTGGGAAACTGGGGGACAGGCGAGCTGATGGGCTCCAGGAAGTAGCTGAAGCCAAGGCTTCCTACCACCTGGATCTTTGAGCGTCACACAGTGATTTGCATCATGCTGAGGGTCTTCACAGAGTCACCCCCTGGGTTCCCAAGATGCCAGTTCCTAGTATATTCCCAAGTGGTCACCTGAAATTCCGTATGCCACCCTAACGCCTCTCCTGCAATCTGGAGACTAAGAGTTGCAGATTTGGGATCCCAAATGGTCACTCCCTAGGCCCTCAAAATCGTTTTGAGAGCCCCCTTCCCCACACAAGTGTGATTCTTTCAGGCCCCCAATGGAATAGTTCCCCTCACCCACTTGTGGGGATGCTCTTACCATCTCCTTTAGTGGTTGTTTGTTTGTTACTGGAACTGGGGTCGGAGCCCCCGGCCTCGGACTCTGAGCCTCGCTCCAGCATCTTGTCGGACCAGGGACCTACGGACAGGGCCTGCAGGCCAGGGAACGACGTGGGCGATTATTAAGCAAATGGTTAATAATGGTAGAGCTGGGGCCCTGAAAACAGGAGCTGGGTCTGGTGTGGGCTGTGGGCTAAAACACTGGACTGCAAAGTAGGTTTGAACTACATGGTCGGCAGTTCAAACTCACCCGTTGCTCCTTGGAAACACTACACAGAGTCGCTATTAGTCGGAACCGACTGGAAGGCACTTAACAATAACAACAAGGAGCGTTGATGGTGCTTCAGGATAAGCGCTGGACTGCTAACCCGCAAGATCGACAGTTCAAATCCACTAAGCCGCTCTGCAGGAGAAAGACGAGGATGTCTGTTTCTGTAAAGATTTACAGCCCTATAGGGTCTCTGTGAGTCAGAATCATCGAAACAGCAGTGTGTTTAGGATTTGGGTGTGACCAAGAGTTGCTATGGGTCGGAACGACTCGATGGCACGACTCGATGGCACTTAACAAGGCAAGGGCGTTAAGGTAAAATGGAGCTCAGTGCACAGTGGGCGGGGCTATGCAAATCTGACTCTGCCCTAGACTCTGCATCCCAGGGTTAGAACTTTTGAGCTGAATAGATGGGGGTTTTGCAATGCAAACAGTTAGTGGAAGACTCTAATTGAAGAATGGGATAGATTTTGTTAAGTACCGCTGAGTTGGTTCCGACTCATAGCGACCCTGTATAGGGTTTCGGAGAAGCAATTGATGGGTTTGAACCACCGACCTTGTGGTTCAAATCGACCTTGCGAACCAGTGCTTATCCCACAGCGCCACATCAGGACTGCAGTTCTATGTACATATCACCAAAGTCGGGAGTTCTGCCCTACCGACCTGGGGACGGGTCTGTGACAGGAGGGGGCGGGGCTTTGTGGCAGTCCCAGGGGAGGAGCATCTAAGCGCAGTGGGCAGGGTTTCACGTCGAAGAGGTAAATTTACCCGGCTTTTCATCTCAGTCCATTGGAATCGCGTCAGGCCGCTTTCTTTTCGCTGCTAAATTTCATCCCCGGCGAGGAGTTGGGAGTCGTGGGGGATAGAGGGGAAGGTCCTGGAGGAAGACCCCTAATGAATTTGTCCCTGGGGACCCAAGAATCCATGCCTCAATGCACCCCGCAGATTCCTGCCATCCAGCCATCCTCCTAAGACCCAGACACCCATGCACAATCCCTCTGGGGCCTAGGCATCCTGACCCCCAACTATTCCCCTCCAGCATTTCCTGGCTTTCAACCCCCAATCCATTTCCCAAGGACCCAGGAGACCAGGCCGAGACCACTGACCCCCTCACCTGCGGGACGGCCCCTCCCCGGGGGCGGGGCTCCTGGACCCCCGCCCCGCAGAGACTGCTGTAGCTGTGCTGCCCTCGGACCCCTTGGAGATGCACCACCCGGCGCGCGCTCGGCGACTGGGGTGGAGAGGGGTGGGAGCGTGCGAGCTGTTAGGCCCGGCCTCATTTGCATTCCTTCCCACGCCTAGCCGAAGCGGGTTCAGTACGCATGCGTAGTCGCGGCCAGCAGTGGCTGCAAGGAACTGATGGTGGGCGACGCAGGCAAGTTCGTGAGTAGAGCAAGCGCGAAGCTACTGCCGAAGTTCATGCAGTAGGAGTGTGCAGCGGCTGGCCTACGGTGGCTGACTGGAGTCAAGCATATGCAGAACCTAACGTCGAGAAACTGCGCTTGGAGATCGCAGACCAAAACCAAACCCACTGCCATCCCAGTCACATTCCGATCTTAGAAGACATAGAACTGCTCCTGCCAGTGTCTACGGGAATTTACTGCTTCAGCTTTTGCCTGAGGAGCGACAAGTGGGTCTGAACCGTTACCGTGAGGTTAGCTAGCAGTCCAGTGCTTAACCCAATGCACTACCAGGCTCCAACTTGGAAAAATTGCACTTAGCGATCACTGAGACGGCTCCCAGCATATTCCCACCCAGCCCTCCACCCTTTGCTTAATTACATTCCCCTTCTTTTCTAGACAGGAACCCGGTGGTGCCGTGGGTTAAGCATTGGGCTGCTAACTGCAAGGTTGGCGGTTCAAATACACCAAGCGATCTGAGGAGAAAAATGAGGCTGTCTGCTCCTGTAAAGTGGAGGGTCGGAGAAAAAGAGGAAGACCCCCAACGACATGAATTGGCACAATGACAGCAGCAATGGGTCCGGTGTGGCAACGACTGTGAGACTGGCCCAGGACTGGGTAGTGTTTCGTTCATAGGGTCTCTATGAGTCGGTGTTAACGCCATGGCTCCTAACAACAACAGCTCCTGTAAAGATTTACAGTCTCGGAAACCCTACGTAGCAGTTCTACTCTATTCTATGTAGTCGCCATGAGTCGTTATTGATTCTATGGCAGTACGTTGGTTGGTTGGTTGGTTGGTCTTTTCAAGAATTACTCAGGAGCCGAGTTCCAGCTTTGAAGGCGGAACCTGAGCCCGTTTGCCCACTCTGCCAAGCAAAGGGTTGCAGAAAAAGATCTGGTGATTTTACCCAGAGGACAAAGACTGGACTGGGGTGGTCTCTAGCCTCAGAGCGGACTGGCACCCAATCACAGGGATGTTATTTGCATACAACTCCAATCTCCTTCTCTATTGGATGATTTAAGATTTTTCAGCTCACCAACGTTCCACCCTTATCCGGTGCCTCAGGCGGGCCCACAGGTGCTTTGGCCAAGCCTTCGACCAGTGCCAAGGGCCTGGTGGGCCGCGGTTTGGCGCCCTTCCCCAGGGAGTGACAGTGCACTATCTCGCCCAGCACAAGGGTGATCTTGAAAAGCCCATAAAGTCCAGGAGCCGTGGATGGGAATTATCTGGCCTAGAACCCAAGGATTGAGATCTTGGCTTTGCCTCTTAGCGGTGTAACCTTGGGCAAATCATGACCTCATTTGCCTTTGTAAAATGGAAGGTTGTTAGGATTAAATGCGATGATAAATAAGAGTGTTTTTAACAATGTCTAGTATGCAGAGTGCTCAATACATGTTATTAACATTACATTTTTGGTTTTATTGTTCATTAAGCGATTCACTAAGGAGCTCTGGTAGCATAGTGGTTACGAATTTTGCCGCTAACCTCAAGGTCAGCAGTTCGAAACTACCAGCTGTTCCACGGGAGAAAGATGAGGCTTTCTGCTCCGTAAAGATTTACAGCCTCGAAACCCTTTACAAGGTCGAATGAGTGGGAACCATCTCCACAGTACCCAACCACCACCACCACCAAGCTATTCACTAAATCCATTGCCATCTACTTCAATACATAGTGACCCTTATGGGACAATCCTGGTGTGGTGCTGTAGGATAAAGCACTGGACCACAAGGTCAATTTGAACCACAAGGTCGCCGGTTCAAACTCACCAGCCACTCTTTGGTACCCTGTACAGGGTTGCTATGAGTCGGAACCGACTTGGTGGCACTTAACAACTATAGGAAGGAGTAGAACTTCTCCTTAGAGTTCCTACATGGGAGCAGACAGCCTCATCCTTTGCCCTTGGTGGAACCCCTATCTTGCAGTTACAGTCCAATGCTTAACCCATGGCATCACCAGGACTCCTTACATTAAGCTATTGTTGTTTTTAATTGCCATCAAGTTGATTCCAACGCATAGAGGCCCTGTATAGAGTTTCCAAGGAGCAACTGATGGGTTTGAACCATTGACTTTGTGGCTAGCAGTCCAGTGCTGAATTCCTGCAATAGCAAATACACAGACCTACAGATGGGAAGGGATGGGTGGGCAGTGTTCAGGGGACTCTCCCCTACACATCACACCAATAAGGAGGTCAGCAAAAAGTGAACGACATGAAACACAATGTATGTGACTTGGTGAAGGGGAGAAGTGGTTTGCTGTGGAAATCTTCAACCAATTCACACTAAAAAGTGAGAAACAAAACAAAACGTCATACCATGCCTCAGATTCATTGGGTTTCATTCCAGTTCCTACCCCAGGGACATTGCACTAGCTGTTCTCTCTGTCCCCAAGGCCCTCCTTTGTCACTTTGCCTGCCTGACACTTCCCTCAGGTCTCAGCTAAATGTTACACCAGAGAAGGCCTCCCTTGACCACTCTATCTCACAGACCCCACCACTCTTTTTTTTTTTTAATGTTTTTATTGTGAGGTTTACATGGAAGAATCAGTTTTACATTCATCCTATCATATTTCATTTCATTGCAATGATTACAATCTCCTCATGTAGCATCTAATAACCAAAGGGTACACCCCACAGGCCCGCCCCACTGGCCGTCAGCACACAGCCCCTCTCCCTCCCTGAGTTCAGGGTCCCCAGCCACTCCATCTGTACACATCATCTTCTCTGTCTCCGTCCCTGGCGTCACTGCCTCTCTGGGTAGGGTCCCGCTCTCTATTCTTTTCACTTGATGGTCCCAGGGACCTCTGCTCCTGGGCTGCAAAATCAATCTCTCCCCTCCTTTTGTTAAAAAACATCTACCTCTATATATTTCCTACCCTCACAGTCAGTCTTGATGGCAACTATTCACTATTGTACCACAAGAGTCTTATTTTGCATTTCCTTTCACCAGCCTGGTCCCAACAGATTGGAAATCATTCAGTGGAGATTCTACCTTCCCCCGCCCCATCTGGAACTAGGCTCCCTCTTGAAAGCTTGTAAGCCAGTCACTCCTTGCCTTTATAGGCTTCCGCCATTTTGGGTAGCCAATGTCTAAGTTGCCCATCCCTGTCAACCCTGTGTACCGAGGGGTGGGAGTGATCCTCGCTGTAAAGATTTGATCCCTTTTTTGAGCTACTACATCCATAAGTATAGGTCAAGTTCGTCAAATTGTAGCAGGTTCCTCTTTTGTTTTTCCTTTCCTCTTTCTTCTTCTAGTCGAGCTCTGATCATTCTAGCCATCGAAGCCAGGTCAAGTGGGTATTATGATCTGCAAGTATGGTGTTCTTGTGCATCTCCCCTCACTTCGTATCAGCTGTACGCTCCAGTCCTCTGTGGCCATGTCACTGCCTCTGGGACCA